GCCTACTCCCTTATCACTGCGAGAACGCGAATTTCTAATTACATCGTGTTTGAATGTCTAATAATTATTTATGACACACTCAAACAAAACCAAATGAATTCCAGAAATAAATATCACCTTACAAAATACGGCAATTTCAGTCACTACACATGCGGAAACACATAACCGGGAACTTTCGGGTGAATCATCTATCATTCCAAGTCATAAAACTTCACGTCGCACTTACCCGCGGCAACTTCGAGGATTGTAAATTGCGACTCCCCTGCAATGGCAGCGTGTTTTAATTAATAGAACTGAAAGGATACTGTTACACCACTTTTACGTTCTCGTCTGCCAGAGTACAGCCGAGCAGATTCGCTAAACAAATTGGGATTGTGCCCATGCCTAAAATTATCCGCTAACCCGGTCTTACGGAGCATGATGGTCAACAGCCCGTATCCATGCACGTTGCGCATATAGTGTGGATATTTTAACTCCGAACGTTTCCTCGGTACTCATTAAAAAACCTACGGTGAACAGATCGTAATTTGTAGGTAATCAATGAGCCTCTCGCGGCGCCAGCGTCACGGCGCTTTTGGAGCAGTCCGACGAGCGCGGGTCGTTCGTTCCAGGGCGCGAGTCGCAGTTCGCGTGTTGCTACGCGATTAGCGGGAAACTAGAGGACTGCCGAAGAAGCAAAAATTATCCGGAAGAGCGCGAAAATAAACGATCGGAGCGGCCCCTGCCAGTGCGGCCATCGAAATTAATCGAAGGGAACAGCTCGTAATGCGAGATATGCGTTAAATGTGCAGCGGCGCAGATATTCCCCATCGGCCTCGGGAAGCTCTTCGGGCGTACATTTCGCGTGCTTGTAAACTTGGAGCAAAAATACATGCCACTTTCTTTTAATTACGTGAAGAGTATTGCGCAACCCGATACAATTATATGATGCCGTAAGAGGACAAGTATCACGGTGAACAGTGTACTTTTAGCTCGAAGATTTATCTAGATATTCACTTAATTACTTACCTTCAGGTTAGTGGGACATTGCAGAGCGGATTGGTATGTAAAACGCAAGGACTATAAAGCCAAAATAAGCAAGGAGTCGTGGTTCTCCTGGGTAAGCAAAGTTAAAAAGAGCAGTTCTAAGGGCAGATTTGTCATGAATAGTTTCAGTTGAGGATTGGAGACGGTCTGATGATTGTGGGCCAAGTACAAAAAAAAAAGACGTGATAGTTTTATTTTGGCGCGAAGGCGGTCGAGAGGTCATGAGAAGACAAGGGCCGCAGGTGCAGGTGGAAGGCTTTCCCGGAGAAAAGTGCCACGACCTCGTCTAATCTGGTATACATACTGGAGGCTGGCCTTGCTCCAGTGCTCGGAAACTCCCGTCAAGCTATAAGACGCATTCGCAATTTACTCTATTCAGCTTGCTGAAACTCATCGAAGGCCACCGTCTCAGCAAATTCGTCGCGCTTGGTTCTCAATAAAAAGAAAACGACCGGCGACTTTACCCTTGAATTTCTATGAATGTAAAGATTGGGTCAGGTTTTCGGGACACAAAGTGCGTACTGATTTGCTTTGTTTGAGTCATTTTGTACTATTATATAATTTACAAATATCAGTATTTCGTCTTGGTTCCGTCAAGTTGTGTCGTCCCGAGTGAGTTTGATATATGTTTCTAATCTACGCATGAGCGATGAATAAAAAAAATGAAAATAGAAAAGGCCTTTGTGCTATATGTTGCAACACCAACCTTACTTTAATGATGTTTGAGAGGAAACATTTAGTAGGCCTTGACGCGAGGAGGACGTATATTAGTAATTTTTTTTATAAATGTTCTCAGCAAAAATAGTATTCACTGTTGGAACTTTCGCGAGGACGGCATCGGATTCCCTCTGCGGAGAGGATGCACGCGAGGAGCGAGCTGAACCTCGCACCACTGCTTGTCTCGGCGGAGACGATTTATGATCGCGCGCGGGGGTCGAGAGGTAAACTTCGTACCCGCAGCGGCCGGATGCAGCCGCGAAGATCAACAGCTGGGAAAGTGGAGACGGACAGAACGAAAGCTGGAACGCTACGGATCGGAGAACGCGAAAGTGGCTCGTCTGTTTGGAACGTGTGTGTAGTGGGTGTAGTTTAAAATAAAAGTGTTGAGATTTGTTGAGACTGATCGATATCTCGGAACGCCAAGAAGCAACAATTCCCTCAACAAAATAATTGTGCGGAGGTGCTGGCATCCGAGAATACGTGCAACGTTCGATGTACAACGTTGCCCTTCAGCTCGCTGTCGTAGAATCTGGGCACGTTAATTTGCTGAAGTGTGGTGAGCTCGTCGCACCAGTTGTTCCAGCCACTCATCAGTTCTTCCGGCAGTGTATCGTCCCAGCGCAGGTTCAGCTTCCAGATTTCCTGAAACAAGATCTTGGCTCGCACCACGAAGGGGGAAAGGAAACCAAGGGGGTCATACAGTCGTGCTGTCGTCTGGAGCACGAAACGCTTGGTGTTTCTTCGTTGGCGGGCAAATTCAATCACGTGTTCTGCCGAAAAGGAAAGGTTGTCTTCATTCGGCTTCCACGTCAGACCGAGTACCTTCAACACACCCGTCTGTTGTCCCAATGGTCTCTCATCGGGACCCTTGTCTTCAAGCATTTTCGACAGGGCTGCGCTATTGGAGCCCCACTTATGGAGCTTCATCCCCGCTGCTCCAAATATCTCGATCGCCTCGTTGCAGAATGTCCGGGCGTCCTCTTCACTTTCCGCGCCCGTCAAGAGGTCGTCAACGTAGACCGATCTACCCAGTCGCTCTGCTGTCTTGGGGAAAGAAAATCCTGCCGACCTGATGACACGAGGGCTGTCCGCGGATCGACTGCTGTCTGCACCGCTCTGGTGGAACGGACCAACTTGGTTGCTACTGCCCGCGACAGAGTGGCCTGGGGAAAGTGACGAGGAGCTTTCCCACGACGGGCTCGAGGAGAGGACTCCAAGAGCAGAGCTCTTCGAGGTAACTGCAACTGTACCGGAAGAGTTGCTGGACGTTTCAAGGTTCAGCTCGGCCTTGAAACTCCACAGAACAACGGCCTGGATTTTACGGTTCATCTATAACCTCAGATCGTCAGAAAAAAGGATGGGACCACTGACCGCCGAGGAGATCCACGTAGCGCAAACACACTGGATAACGAGAGCACAAAGATCAGCGTTTGCCTCCGATATTGATTGTGCAGCAAAGAGAATGTCGCCCCCACCTGGGTCGCTCTTGCGTGACTTTCGCACTTTCATCGATGAAGAGGGATTGCTGAGGATCAGCGGTCGACTCCAGTCATCGAACCTGACGCAAGAAGAACGCCACCCCATTGTACTGCCTAAGGAGCATCGATACTCAACGTTGCTGACTATCGACGCCCATCGCCAGGTACTGCACGCGGGAGCCAGGGACACTCTCGTGCAGCTGCGCGAGAAGTACTGGATCCTCCGCGGAAGACCGCTGGTAAAGAAGGTAGTGCGTGCGTGTGTGACCTGCCAGCGATTCAACGCGACTCCTGCAAGTGCTCCAACGGGACCCTTGCCGGCGGATCGTACAACGCGAGCGGACCCGTTTGAAGTAGTGGGCACAGACTTTGCGGGACCCCTGTATGTTAAGGCGAACGACCTCACTGTCAAATGTTACGTCTTGTTGTTTACATGTGCGGTTACCCGAGCGGTACATTTAGAGTTAGTTACAGACATGTCGACAAAGAGCTTTCTGTATGCCTTTCGCAGATTTGTGTCGCGGAGAGGGGTATGCCTCGTCATTTATTCGGATAACGCTTTGACATTTAAACGGGCCTCAAAAGAACTAAGGGAACTGTGGAAGACACTCCGACACCCTGATGTGATTCAGCATTTTGCCAATGCTGGCATAGAGTGGCGATTTATTGTCGAACGAGCGCCATGGTGGGGAGGTTTTTATGAGAGGCTCGTGCGCTCAGTAAAGGTGTCATTGAGGAAGGTGATCGGAAAGAAATGCCTGGGCGCAGAGGAATTGGCCACGGTTCTCACCGAAATTGAAGCCGTGGTGAATTCGAGACCATTGACCTTTGTGTACAACGAGGTGGGAGAGGGCGACCCTCTCACGCCTGCGAGCTTTCTAATCGGTAGACGGCTGACGGCGCTGCCGGCGGCCGGGGGAGAGCCGCTCGCTTCGACACCGGAGACACTTCGCGGTCTGTGGCGAAAGCGAAAACGGATCCTAAATTTATTTTGGGGGACGTGGGGGGCAGAATACCTCCGAGAACTGAGGTCTGCTTACGCTAGTCACCAAAAGCAGTCCCCTCCGCCCCGAGTGGGCCAGTTGGTCCTTTTGAAAGAGCCACTTCCACGACTGCTTTGGAAGCTTGGAAAGGTTGAGAAGGTATTTTATGGACGCGATGCAAGGGTTCGTTCATGCGAGATTCGCGTACATCGCGGTACAGTATTGCGAAGGCCAGTGCAACTAATCTACCCCCTAGAAATGACGGAACTCTAGAATGTGCTCGCGCCCATTCGGTGGGGAGTGTGTTGGAACTTTCGCGAGGACGGCATCGGATTCTCTCTGCGGAGAGGATGCACGCGAGGAGCGAGCTGAACCTCGCACCACTGCTTGTCTCGGCGGAGACGATTTATGATCGCGCGCGCTGCTGAACTTTCTCAAGATCGAGGTGGAGAGCCGGGAGAAAACATCCAAGGAACAACCCGAAGACGCCGGCGGTAAGCCTGCACATTGTTTCCCCATGCATGAACATCCGAAGAGGCGCCTAAACAACGCCAAGACTCGGAACGCTACCGCTACGGCCTTGCATGGCAGGATGGACAGCATGGAATGCTTTCTTTGCAAATCAAAGGCGCACAGCACACCAGACTGTAACGCGAAGATCGAACTCAAGGAAAAGAAGCGCAGGCTGCAAGCCGATCGCAGGTGCTTCCGGTGCACAAAGCCGAACCACACGGCAAGAATGTGTCGCGGCACGCTCCGTTGTGACAGGTGTGAAGGAAGGCATGTATCCACTATGTGTGATCCAGATTACTTGCCGGGACGAGCCGCCAGCGGATCGGATGAAACGCGGAAGAAAGACAAGACGCCTCTCAACCTGCATGTGAGCGAGAAGGGCAACAAACCGGCTGTCCTTCTGCAAACCGTTACCGCGTGGGTGGAAAGCAAGAACAGAAGAAAGTTGGCCCGCATTCTCTTCGACAGCGGTAGTCAGCGCTCCTTCATTACAGAGGAGCTGTCGAGGGGTCTTGGTTGCAAGCTTCTCGGAACGGAGGTTCTTACCGTAGGAGTGTTCGGTGGCAAGACTAGCGAACAAACGTACCGTAGAGTTCAAGTAGTTTTGCGTAATCGTTTAACCGGCCAGACATACGAGATAGACGCCCTCGAGACGCGTTCTATCTGCGAACAAGAACTTCCAGGTCCGGATGAAGACATCCTGGTGAATATGGAGGAGCTCGGACTGACGGTTGGTGACGACCTGAACGGACTCGAGTGCAACGGAGTAGGAATCCTCTTAGGATCGGAGCACTACTGGGGGTGCGTTACGGGAAGAGTCCGTCGACTGAGCGAGAACCTGACGGCAGTGGAGACCACCTTTGGTTGGGCAGTACATGGACGTTCCCAAGCGACTGCAGCTGTTGTCAACTGTTCCCAAGTGATCGTCCTCAGAGCTGCCGTGAGCGACCAGGAGAACACGGCTGTCCTGAGAGGATTTTGGGAGCTTGAGAGTATGGGAGTTGTGGACGCAGAGGTCCAGGATCAGTCCGATAGCGACATCATGCAGCGCTTTGAGAGAAGCATCACCAAATCTGATCGAAGATACGAAGTGAGCCTCCCTTGGAAACCTGATGTAAAGCTTGATTGCAACCGAGAGATGGCTTGGAAGAGACTCGAAAGCCAACGAAAGAGGCTAAGCAAGAATCCTGAGCTCATGCAGAGATATGATCAGGCAGTCCGGCTTTACGTCGAGAACGGAATGGCTGAGAGGGTCGAGAGAGACGATAACTCGAATGAACGGGTGTACTACATGCCCCACCAGGCTGTTCTGCGAGAAGGCAGCAGTACGACGAAGATGAGAATCGTTTTCGACGCGTCTTCGCACGGACCGAACTGCAAGTCACTAAACGACAACCTGGAGAGCGGTCCGAACCTGAACCCAGACCTTGTTAGCCTGCTTCTCAACTTCAGGCAACACCCGGTGGCACTGGTTGCGGGGTTTTCGAAAAGGCCTTCCTTCAAATTGAAGTAAACCCGGAGGATCGCAATGCTCTGCGGTTCCTCTGGTACAAAGAAATTCCTCAACCGAACCAAACAAATCCGGTGGTGGAAGTCTGGCGTATGACGAGGGTCATTTTCGGAGCCACGTCCAGCCCCTTTCTGTTGGCCCCGACCCTACGACATCATTTCAGAGAAATGGAGAGCGTATTCCCCAAGACAGCAGAGCGACTGGGTAGATCGGTCTACGTTGACGACCTCTTGACGGGCGCGGAAAGTGAAGAGGAAACCCGGGACAGAGACTACTGCACTGCAAATGAAGCCGACGAGCAACGTGTGATCGAATCGCCAGCAGACGGAGAACGAGAAAGTGGCTCGTCTGTTTTGAACGTGTGTAGTGTGTGTAGTTTAAAATAACAGTGTTGAGATTTGTTGAGACTGATCGATATCTCGGAACGCCAAGAAGCAACAATTCCCTCAACATTCACCAGAGCAAGATTTTGAATGGTTTTAAGAACTTTATGATATTGAGAAACGTTTGTGCAAAACAAAGAACGTATTGATTTGTTTTAAAATTTCAAAAAAACTGAAATGTATTAAGGGAGGGTTCCAGGCGGAAGCTGCGTATGAAAACTCCCTTTGTTACCAAAATTTAGAGCTTTATCTACAAATAACAAATAAAGCGCGTAGAGTATGGGCGACTGTCGTTTACATCTAAACTTCAGTCAGAGTATACTGAAAATTCTTGTATAGTCATTGCCTGAAGTACTGATCGGGTTAGGACAACAAAGACAACATTATCAAAAGCGCGTACAATATCTCCACGTGGTGAATGACGTTGATTGGGGCGAAGCTCTGGTAGTGCTTGTCCGCGTAGACGCTGAGCCGCAGCATGCCGAGCCTTTCGTTCGTTTTCATAAATGTCAGAAAGAGAATGTGTGGTATGGAACGTGGCTATATACGCATTTGAGCATTTGACCGCAGCGCCCTCTCGTCTATAAACGTTGAGCCAATGCATGCAAAGTTTAACGCGATTATATACGATTTTGACCGCAGCGCCTTCTGTATAGACGTCGAGCGGCTACATGCAACGTTTCATCCATGACATCCCCAGCTCTTGAGTTATTACTACATCTCAGAGTCCCCTACTTGTCCTGCAGTCGTGGCCGAGTGGTTAAGGCGATGGACTAGAAATCCATTGGGGCCTCTCCGCACAGGCTCGAATCCGAAAACAAACATTTCCTTTTTTTTTTTTCGTCATCTTTTTTTTGCCCTACACAAGCACGTTAGCACGTGAGCTTTTGAGCACGATCACGAGCACGAGTGCCAGCAAGATCGATGTGAGCACGGACGCCGGACAGAGAAGGCTAGACCCTCAGGAGCTTCGCCCCTAAAAATGTATTTATAAAAATGTATAGCAAACTGCAGGGCAGCTGTTGCACGTGAAACGTTCCGGTATCTCGATACTTCAGTGATGCCTGCTTGGCTCGTTCAGCGAGTTCAATTCTGGGCCGAGTTTTTTTCGTCGCTTGTGTCTAATTCCATGTTGTTGCTTGCGGTCGCGTTTTCGAGCGTTGATTGTTATCGTTCAGCAGCCTGCCTGGCCCGTTGACCTAATCGTCAATAAGTTCAGCCCTATTGTCCTGGGACTGGCGCTTGCGCCCTCGGCGCTCCTCATTGGTTAGTTTAGCTGTTAACTTAACGCGTGTCTTGTACACTTGATAGAAGTTCCTGGAATGAACATAACAACGATAATCGTGGCTTAAAAAAAAACAAAAATTCATCAACACGCGTCAAGCTTGGAGGTGACGTCATACGTGGCGTTATACCTGCTTCAGCCAGTCAGTATCGAGATAATCGACGTGTTCACAGAGATTTGGAATCCTTTCCCTCCCCCACTCAATAAGTCAAACAACTTTTCAAGTTAAAACAAAAATGGGGCCTTTGCGAACTGCTCATATATACATTCTTAGGCAGACCAGCTCAAAGTTGGGGTGGAACTGCTTTTGCTCCTCAAAATGCACACCGCATTAATATGCTTGACAATTTAAAATATGTCCGCACGGATCAGACACTCGCACTTTTCTTTAATTATAATTTTAAATACAAAATTAAAAAAGTGAAAGCCGTTTACAACTCCCTGTAACGCCGAATTAGAGCGCAGCTCTTGAGGAGGAGGAGGGAAGTGTACTGGGGGGGGGGTCAAGTGACCTTGGGTGGGGGTCACGTGACGATGACAATGCCGATGACGTCATCAGTAACGATGACGATGCGGATACCGATGACGTCATCAGTGATGATGACAATGACGATGTGGATGCCGGTGACGTCATCAGTGACGTCACTGATGACGTCATCAGCGATGATGACGATGACGATGCGGATGCCGGTGACGTCATCAGTGACGTCACTGATGACGCCATCAGCGATGATGGCGATGACGATGCGGATGCCGGTGACGTCATCAGTGACGTCACTGATGACGTCATCAGCGATGATGACGATGATGATGCGGATACCGGTGACGTCATCAGTGATGATGACAATGACGATGCGGATGCCGGTGACGTCATCAGTGACGTCACTGATGACGTCAACAGTGATGATGACAATGACGATGCGGATGCCGGTGACGTCATCAGTGATGATGACGATGACGATGCGGATGCCGGTGACGTCATCAGTGACGTCACTGATGACGTCATCAGCGATGATGACGATGACGATGCGGATGCCGGTGACGTCATCAGTGACGTCACTGATGACGCCATCATCGCTGATGACGATGACGATGCGGATGCCGGTGACGTCATCAGTGATGATGACGATGCGGATGCCAGTGACGTCATCAGTGATGATGACAATGACGATGCGGATGCCGGTGACGTTATCAGTGACGTCACTGATGACGTCATCGGGGGTCACGTGACTTGGGGTGTCGCGTGACCTTGGGGGTCACGTGACCCTGGGGAAGGGGTCACGTGACCTTGGGGTGACCTTGGGGAGTCACGTGAACCCCGATGACCCTTGGGGAGGGGTCACGTGACCTTGGGGTCACGTGACCTTGGGATGACTTTGGGGGTCAAGTGACCTGGGGATGACCTTGGTTACGCCGACGGCGACGCCGATGGCGACGGCGCTCAAGCCCGGAACGGGCCCCTAAGAGCTGCGCTCTAAAAGTGACCTGTCATTGTTATTCCGATAAACCCTGGAAGCATAGATTGTGTCGTGCGTGTCTTATCTGTTGCGGGAAGCTTCTGATGGTTGTAGATGGGATGCCCAGATGACAGTCTTATTAGGCCTCTGGGCTTATCAGAATTATCGAAACACGTTTAAAATTATTTGAGAGAGGAGTGTGTGAGTAACAGATATAGTGTTTATTACAAATTTTATGGGTTAGGTTTCTTCGGAGGGTGTGTGTAGCGCCTTGATATATTAGTTCTCTTGCATTTCGAGATGTTATTTATGGTAACTGAAGTTATCACCAGGGGAGGAATAATCGCGTCTGCTGCGCCATTTATTAGTTCCTTTCTCTGCACTCTTGACATCATACGCCCGCTATGTTATTCATAAGTGCGTCATAATCCAACCCATAACGTCGTGAGATCACTTTCGGAGCTTCATTATTTGAGACAGGAGCGCGGGCCGACGGCCTTCTGAGATCGCACGGGCTTCCGTGAATCCGACTTCGTCCAGATGTTTATTTAATAAAGTATTTAATAATTGAATCTCCTCATGTGGCGACATTCGCTGAGGCAAGCCCAACAGCAAGCCAGGCCTGCGCAGGAGGTCACGCGCCAGCCCAAAAGAGCGGCAGAAGAAGAGGAAATAAAGAACTAGACCGAGGGGGTGCTTCGAAGACAGTCGTCCTTTAAAATTCGTCCCGTTGAACACTTCAACTCCGACAAATTGGTGACCCGGATGTGATACGCCTTTACGATTCTTCAGCATCTTCAGAGATGGATTTGGCTGACGGTGAATCGCCTGCGGCGGAAGCTATTCCATCGGGATCTTTGGCATCATTTCAAGTCAAGCTGCCGACATTTTGGGCTGGCGCGTGGCCTCCTGTGCAGGCTTGGCTTGCCGTTGGGCTCGCCTCAGCCTATGTCGCCACATTCAGATATGATTACCTGCCTTCAGATATTGTATTGATGGAGCCCTTAGCAAAAGGGACCGTACTTCAAACAATGTTGAAATATATTGAATACGAATATTCATTTTGTATTTATTCTGTATTATTTGGCCGCACTCGAAACACGTGCGTAATGTATTCAAAACACATTATAAATATGAATAAAAAATATTTTAGATATATCAAAAATATTATCCCTTCACACTCAAGATGCCATTTGTGCATTAAAAACCGGTTACACAATTTTTTTTTTATTTTCGATTTTGTCAGCAAATGGTGTCCCCGTGGTATTTGAAGGCACTACTAAATACATCTCACAAAGCTACATTAGAAACGAACACAAACACAAACACCATGACGCACTGAACACCTCATTCACAGTCCCGTTGACTGCTCTAGAGCCTTATATAGCCTACATATTGAAGGTAATAAGTTTTTCGGTGACCACCTCTGCGCTTATTAAGGTTCCAAGTATTCGATCTTCTCCTCGGGAGTCTGTGAAAGGGAAAACAGTGTTTTGAAGGTCGTGGACGATATCTCTTACTAAAAGGCATTGGTACAACTAATAACAATTCGGCGCAGTCCCTAAAACAATATCCACACAAACGGCTCATAAAATACATGTTATTGCTTCTCTGCGTAGCACCACTCAGGACGAAGCGAATCAGGGCAGTTTCTTCACTTTAAAATACTGTAAACGACTTTATTTTCGTGAGGACTTAATTCTCGCAAAGTTCGCGAATCGCATACAATTCCGAAAATTAGGTCCCGTGAACAATTTTGGCAAAATGTAAAAACATTAAAATCTATATTACGATCCCAGCGCGTCGCGAAAATTAGAATTTGCAAATTATTCCAAAACTCCAACTTTTACCTAAATCACGAAATATTGAGCCCGCGAAAAATAAGTATTTTACAGTAGTTATTTTGCCTTTTCTTTTTAGTAGTAGACTATTTAATATGGTAGTTAATGTCACTATATTACAGTCACTATTCACATCACGTACAATGGTGAGTATACACGTTCAGTGAACTAACATTGTGCTAACAAAACCACGCCAAACGTACCTGTTCACAGCACCTGCTGAAGCTTTGCAGCATCAGCAAATATTGTGGTTGTAGTTCCCGAACCCCGTTTGTGATTGGTGTGTAAGGAACTGATCAGGTGTGTTCGTGATAGAAAAAAGGAAACAATAACATAATTTGGGCTTATTTATCAGTGCGATGCTGCACAATTCAGTTGACAAACTAATCAAATGTTGTATTTAGGCGCATCAGTGTACTCCATATCTGCTTGAAGTGCACTTCTAGAGCTTTTCAATATTTTGGTAGTTTAAGTCAAATTACCAAAGAATTGCAGTCAAAAGATACTTAGAGTATAACACAATAGTATTTACGATTTTCAGGTATTTTAAGAGTATTCTGCACGTATTTTTGATTGCTCCATTTTTTTAGGGTTGGAGTATATTTTGCATGAATTAAATAAATATTTCAAGAAATATATGTGAAAGGTATTTTGTTCCTATTAATTTAGTATTTACATATTTCAAAACGCATGAAGGGAACTTCAAATGTAGTTTAAGTAA